TCTCTCTCTCTCCTCCGATGCCCTTCCCCGATCTCCATGTCTACTCTCAGCTCCGTGTCGAGCCCGCCGATGCAGCGGGCGAGCTCGATGCCTCGGGGATCTGCTTACCTGGGTCAATCAGACCCGGGTCAGCAGGAAACCCAAAAACTGCAATGCAGGGGAACAAACAACTGCAACGCAAGGCTTCGCAAACCTGGGCCAACAAACATACGCGGCGGCCTCGCGGCCACGAGCGGCTCGCTAACCCGGGTCAGCCAGAGGGGGTCTTCGCAGTATCATGCAAGATCCGGTGCCCTGGCTGACCCCGTCTGCATTGACCTCGGCAGTGGACAAACCTCCCTTTTGTAAACCTCCCTGTAGTGAAAACGGCCTAGGACCGAAACCGACGGACCTGGACCTGCAAAAATGACGGCCACGTCGCCCTCTCGCGAACCGAAAACGGCCACTTCCTGAATCGACGTGTCAGGGTGCGAGGTCTATCAACCTCCGACGTTTACGATACATAACGCCGACGCAAACGCATGTTGTGTTTCTGACGTCTGCGAGTAGGCTTATGTCGGGCATGTCCCCCTGATTACAAGCGGATTTTGAAGGAAGAATAACAAAAACGCCTAACAGATTCCAGGATGGTCCAGAAAATAGTCAAAACATAGTCCCCAGCCCATTTTTTCTCACTATTTTTGACTACTCCTCCTGTAGAGGGGCACGCCCGTCTCTTTGGCTCCGGATGCCGAGGCCCTCGACCGAGCTGGCGTCCCGCGCGCCCGGCAGCGCGGCGCAGAGCTGCTCCAGCTGGCCGCCCAGGCCGCCCTCGGCCCGCCTGCTGCACCGCGCGCCGCTCTCCTCGGCTGCTCCGTCGCGAAGTCGCGGCGCCGGGGGCGTCCAATTCGCAGCGCCGGGGTTCGAACCCCGACGTCGCGATGGACGACGCCCCCGGGGAGGCCCCCACGAGGCCCCCCGAGAGCCTGCCGCATGCCCCCCCGGAGTCCTCTCCACCAGGCCCCGAAGAGGCATCCCCCACGAGACCCCCAGCGTCGTCCAGGAGGCTCCTGGCCCAAGGTGTAACTTCCACGATCGTCTCAAACACTCATTCCTTCTGTGACCACCTACCAGACCACCCCAACCCAACCCGAAGACCCGCATTTCGGGTTTGGGGGCGTATGGGTTTCACATCTGTGTATTTCCCATGTTCCCCAACCCCCCCCCCACTGGAGATCGTGGGCAAGTTGGGACACTTCGGGCTGGCTTGGGGCGGTTTGGTGGCTGGTGCTTGTGGGGGCTGATGGGCTGGCGCAAGCCACTTGCACAGAACTCCGACGTCACGATCTTGCCGCGGCATCGACCCCGAAGGCCTGGACCCCTTCCCCGGGACTGGCTCTCTTCCGGCCCAGGGGCCGTCTCTTGACGGCCCCGAGGCCCAGCTGCAGGGATGCCGGAAACGGCCCAGACCCTGCGGGGTCCCGACCTGCTCTCTAGCCCGGATCGCCAGACAAGAAATTCGAGCACCAGGAAAGCACTCGAACTGGAGGGCTTTCACGCGCCCGGACCTGGGAGGCTGTACTTGTTCGACATGTCGCGCGCGTGTCGGACATAACGTTCGAGACTTTTCTCGGTGCTGAAGATTATGTTCGGGATGTGGTCCGACAGTACGATGGAAACAACATAGCCCAGACCCTCCCACCGCGACTTGTCTCGCAGCGACAGAAATTGGGAACTTGGAACCTCGATCCAACGAGTCGGAAGTCTCGGCCCATCTCCCAAGACCAGCGAGTTAGCCCGGGCACCAGCCGTCTTCTGACGGTCCCGTGTGGCCCGGGGCCGAAAACGGCCAGAGGCCTCCCGGGTTTGGAAATCCGCCGAGAACCACTGGCGGCGCGCACAAGGGGGCAGCAGGGAGGGGGGGAGGCGTCTTAGACGGCGGCCGCTCCTTCGAATGCGCCAGCCTTGCATCTACAGACGAGGCCCGCGCCTTCCGAGACTCAGAAGCAGGGGTAGGAAGGCACCAACTATACACCAACACCGATCCTGGCCAGGATCACCCTGGGCCCAGGATCGGTGCATACGCCCTCCTGGGCCTTGGCCCTCCTGCCTTGGGCAAGAAGGCATATACACCGATCACGGGCCCAGGGTGATCCTGGGCCAGGATCGGTGTTGGTGTATAGTTGGTGCCCTCCGAAGGGGTGCTTCTAAGTAGCCTTCCCCTCAACCCCCACACCCCCTCCGCGCGTGGCCGAGAGCCGAAGCCCTCGATCCCCAGCCCCCCGACGTCAAGGTTCGTTCACGACGTCGACCCCCAGAGGGCTGGACCCCTTCCCCAGGACCGGCTTTCCGCCCTGACTCGTTTTTTGACGGCCCCGGGGCCCTGTGAGGGCCCCAGGAGGTCGAAGACAACGAAAAACCTCCCGGCGTGATTTTTACACGACGCGAAGGGGAGAGCACGCTGCTTCGCACGAGCCTGATGCCCAGGAATGGGCGATGAGTTGGATCCGTCACTGGATTAGCCTTGCGTGCTGACGTAGAGGCCATGAGGCCTCTTTTTGGTAGTGGGCCAGCTTGTGATGTCCGATCATTGAATTCAAAAAAAGTGTGTAAAATGCGTAAACCATGTTCTAAACGTGTTTTAAACCATGTCTTACATGTTTAAAGCCATGCTTGACACATGTTTGAGACATCTGGAAATCATTTGGCAGCATGCTTCCTCTCCATTACGTAATCGTCCTCCACAAGCTCAGTGGGTCCCCGGCGGGTCGCGCCGAGCTCCTCCTGCCCGCGCGGGCTGCCGGCCTCCAGCAACGCCAGGCGGCGTTCCGCGTCCTGCAGACGCCCCGCGAGCACCTCGGAGGGGGCCCAGGGGCACTCCAAGCAAGTGGACACAGATCCCAAGATTCCCCGTGCTGTTCCACGTTCTCTGGGCTTTCGTTTCCCGCCCCCCACGTCCCGTATGTCCCCATGTCTCCTGCCGGGCGTTGGCAGAACTGGGTTTAGTGGAACCTGGTTTAGTGATTTGTCCCGGGGGCGCCCCCCCGTCCCATTTTCACTAACCGGAACTGCCGTCACCCGAAAAACACCAGTTACTGCAAACCTGGTTTAGTGAATCTGGCCAATTGAGGGGCCCCAGGGCCCTACCACTAACCGGGTCCCCTTACCCGGGGTCCTGGCCATACCCGATCCTGAGAATCGTCGATTATTTGTGTCAGTGTGTGTTTTTCCTTTTGGCGCCTGCAGGTGCGGCGCCGTGGCCCCGTGCCGCGCCGCGAGCTCCTGCAGCTCGGCGCCCAGGCGCGCCGTCTCCCTGCGCACGGGGTCCCAGTGCTGCTCCGCGGCCTCCACCACCGCCGCTACCTCTCAGGGGAGGAGACAGCGAGCGACGACCAAGCACGGGTCCTGCGCGAGACGATATGCCGACCTCGCGCGGCGGCTGGCGCGGGCCGCCAGCGCGGCACGCTGCATTGGAGACGAGGGCGCTCACGCGCGACCTTACGCGGGCAGCTTGCGCGCCGATGTCGGCGCAGACGACCCCGTGCTGCTGCGTGACCCAAAAGGCAGCATCGCTGTCCCTCCCTTGTTTGCGCTGGTTGTCGGGCCTCCCAGGAGGCCTTCGTCGCCACGGCTGGATCCGCCTCGGGATTCTGGTCGGAACGCGCCCCGAGAGAGGTCCGGGGAGCAGCGGTATCGGTACCTGTTGGGTTCCCCGAGCCTCTTGCAGCAGCCTGACCTGGTCGGCGCGCACCCCGACCACCTCCAGAGCAAGACGAGCCGGCACAAGCACGAGCCTCCGCAGGTCCAGCGCGCACGTCCCGCGGGCTGCCAAGAAGATGGCCACATCCACTGCTGCGGGGTCGTGCTCCGGGGACTCGGGGAGCGGCGGACACGGATCTCTGCCCGCCAACGCGGACGGGCAGATGTCCGTGGCCCCGCCCGCGGCGCCTCCGGCGCCGCCCCTGGCGCGCGCCCGGGAGAAGAAGGAGGAGGAGGAGGAGGAGGAGGAGGAGGAGGAGCAGGAGGAGGAGGACGAGGAGGACGAGGAGGTCCCAGGGCACGACTCCGAAGCGGTGGGTGTGGACATATTCAGGCGGTGGATCTCGGATCGGCCGCCGGGCCCCCGGCGCGCGGAGAGCGCGCCAGGGGCCGGCGCCGCCAGGGGGCGCACAGCGCCGACGCGAGAGGTCCGCGCCGGACCTCCGGGTGGCTCTGGCCTGCTGCCGGTGTGTCCTCCTCGGCACCTCGTCCCTCAGCACCTGCACCGCCGCGGAGCTGGCGGAGGCCTCGTCGGGGACGCGCTGACGACGACGACGACGACGACGACGACGGCGACGACGATGAAGACGATGACGACGACGACGACGATGACGATGACGATGACGATCGTCATCGTCATCGGGTCGGTGCAAGCCCGGGTCAGGCAGACCTTGCGGGACCCTCCGCGCCAGCCGAGGTCAATGCAGCCCTGGCGCTGCTCGGGCGGGTGGCAATGGGGGGGGGGCCAGAAGGGGCCCAAGAGGGGCCCAGAAGGGCCCCATTCAGGGCCCGGCTACAGAGCTCAGCTGCACGCCGATCGAAGGAAATGCTGAGAAGCGTCAGTCTAAAGTATCTAGACGAGGAGGAGGAGGAGGAGGAGGAGGAGGAGGAGGAGGAGGAGGAGGAGGAGGAGGAGGAGGAGACGCCTGAGATCGGTCTGCTACCAGAGCTGTGACCACCTGATTACTTGCACTCTCTCATTTTTTGTGAGGGGCGGTGCTGATTTTCTGTATGACATTCGAGTTGTAGGCAGGTTCTTCACCCCCTATGTGGGCGCCACCCCCCATTACCGCCCGCCCGAGCTGCCGGATCGCGCAAGATCCAGCGCCCTGCCTGACCCCCGTTCGCATCGACTCCCGCCCCTTCAGCCCCGACCTTCCCCCGTTTGGGCCACCCCCCACTCCCAGACATCCGACGTTTCGAGCTTTTCGAGACCCGGGCCCCCGACCTCCCCATCACTTCTCCGGGACCGGTTTCTCGTC